TATATTTATGTTAGGTGTGTTTAAAAATTAAAAAAATTACTTAAAATATTTTAAAAAGTTTAGTAAAAACAAAAAAATACGAAAAATAAAAAAATAAATTTTTTTAAAAGCAAAGTGTTAATTTTTGGTTTGATAATATTCATTTGGTTTTATTATACTTTATACCCCTAAACTATAGCCAAATTATTTACTTTTAGTTCTTGAACTATTGATTAAGTCTATTGAGTTCCTATAGTACATAAATTAAAATCTATTTATCCCTTAAACTATCAATTGAATCTATTAAATCTCAAAGTAATTAATTCAAAGGGCAAATTACATATACTTCCATCGAGATTTAGTTAAATTACAGATACCCCCTAAGGTTTCAGAAATTACAGATACCCCCCTGAGGTTTAAATTTTCATAACAAATTGTCCCCTGAGATTTATATTTTCATAACAATTTATCCCCTAATTTGTTATGCAAATATAACCTTCAGGGAGTATCTGTAATTTCTCAAATCTCAAGGGGGTATCTGTAATTTTATCAAACCTCGAGGGGTATATGTAATTTGCCCTAATTCAAACATAATTAGTATTATAAAAATATAAATTTCTAAAATATAAAATATAAATTAATAAAAGACCTTATCTATTTAAAATTTTATTTCATAAAAACTTTACATTTTTATTCTGTTTTTAAAAAGTGGACGTCGTTTCTTATGGTGAATTTTTAAGGCTAATTATATTATATTTTTTTACCTATATTCTACGATGGTTATGTGCTTGCCTTTCTCTATTATATATCAGATTTCGTTTATAATTTCTAATTGATTGCTTTTAAGTTTTTCACTAACACTCCGTTTGTTTGGACAGAAAACATTTTCTAATAGAAAATATTTTTCTATATTTGATGGTGGTGGTGGTGGAACGAAGGTGGAGATACAGGTGGCGGCATGGTGGTGGAGTAACGGCAGCGGTAATAGTGACGGTGATGGTGTCAGTGGGCGTGGTGGTAGAGGTGGGAGTAGTGGTAGCAGTTTGATGATATGAGCAAAATTTTAGTCCGAAAAACGTTTTTTAAAAGTAGAAAATATTTTATGCCCATATAGGCTTGTTTTCCGTTGACTATAGAAAATATTTTTTGTTGATTTTTGTTTTCTATTATACCAAAAATCAAAAAATATTTTTCAAATTTTTTTTTTCCCACCCAAACAAACGGAGGGTAAGTTCTTTTTCTAGAAAACATTTTCTACCCATATAGGCTTATGGAAAATATTTTTCGTTAAGTTTCGTTTTCTATCGTACCAAATACTAGAAAATATATAAAATATTTTTAGCCCAAACAAATGGAGCATAAGTTCTTTTTAAAACTCAATTAATATATTATTTTGTCTGATTATTATTTGTAGCGAAGTGTTATTATTTAAATTATCTAATACTATTTTTTCAATATATTTAATACTCATATAATTTTATTGGCAAGATTGAAAAACCAGACTCTAACACTAATTTAAAAACATAATGAAGTAAAACACTTTTTAAAGGCAAAATAAAATTTTAATTTTTTTTTTGTAATATACTATTTTTTGCTAATTTATAATACTTGGTTTTTTTTTTTTTGTTGTAATCTTTTCAGGAATTAAATAGGTATGAATTAAATATTTTGGAGACTTAATAGATTGAATAGATAGTTTAAAGACTGAATAAACTTTGATTTATACATTTTAGGGATTGAATAGTTCAAGAATTAAGTAGACAACTTTAGAATAATTTAGAAATAGAAAATGTAATAAACCCTATTTACTTTTATTTAATATATAGGTTTGTTGGACGTGCCTCGGATTGTAATACTATTTTCGGCCAAGGTTTGACACAGATTGTAGGCTCAAATGCAGGTTGGGCCATGCTTGGCCACGAGATTTTTTAATTTCCTAACTTACACCCAACCTGAACTTAGCCTAACGCAATATTTATTCATCTCTAATTGTTATATCAATTAAAAAGAAAAATATATAAAAATATTTTTTACATTATAGGAGGTGTTTGGAAAGTTGGCTATTCTAATAGGTTATTTTAGTTTTCTATTTTAGTAGGCTAAAATAGTTATATTTGGAAAGATAGTTTAATTTTTTTTTATAGTTGGATGTGATATTTATAAGAGAAAAAGTGAAATGATTATAGATTTGATGTGACATTTTATTTTATTAACTATTTTAATCTATTTTATCTTTTAGTACTATTTTAACTCAAAAAACCAAAAAAAACCTATTGCGAAACACCCCATAGTGATGCAAAGACTTCAACGGAAAACAACAATGGACTATAGGGTTACTTGCCATGTACCATCAGAAAAAACAACTCATTATTCAAAGTTATTAAAATATAATGAATAGGGTCGCAAAACAAAATAGGCTATTTTAGCTATAACAAACAAAACATCACATCCAACCCATAATCATTACATTCTTCTCTCACAAAAAAACTCAAAAAAGTCAAAAAGTCAAAAAGCCTTTCCCAAACCAAGCTTGTAAGCCCAGGCTAAAATAACCAAAAAAGCCAAAAAGCCAAAAGCCAATCCACTTCCCAAACGGAGGCTTAGAATTAATATGCCACATCGGCCCAAATACTTATTTATTATTTTTTCATTTTATAATCTAATTTAAATTAGTCGAGATTCAAATCAACTGAATTAAAACTCAATTAACAAACCAGGTTGCTACTTCTTTGCTAATCAAATAGAGAAATTTATTAAATTTTCAAGCTACACTTAAATAATCTAGTAGTCAACTCAACTAGACTCTCACATCCCTAAAAATTGTGTACACAATGCATATGTTGACTCTATCATCTCAATCTTTTAATTTGATGCAAATTTGTAAGAAATTGTGAGTCCATTGGGGCACTAGCCTCCGAGGGGTATTAAAGGGAATTTGCCTCCATGGAGAAGGGGCCTACCCTTTTTTTTTAACCATAGGGAGGCCCTACCCTTTTTAATGCAACTACTTCATATTTGTGTTCGGGGTTGGTCCTTATTTTTCAAAGCTAGCATGTGGAAAAGTTTGTATCTATATATGAAGAAGAGTCTTTGTGTGGGGCTCTAAATGATATATATAGACTCGCAGGTTCACGTGATTGCACGTGATTAAAGAAAATTGGGTCGTGGAAAAAATATTTTGAAATTTATCTTGAAAATAAAATATTTAGATTAGACTAAAGTCAGGTTTATTTGAACGGATTCGATTAGAACGAGTTAACGTTCTTAAGACTATTATTAGGTCGAAGATTATCAATTCCTTTGAATTGACTCAGGATCATGGGGATGAATTGATAAAATTCGCTCAATTTTGTAACTTAATTAATTAGCCTAAACCTCTCGTTAGTTTTTTATTTTGAATCTCACCCCCTTTCTTAGGATTCAATAATCCTATGGAGGATATTATGTCTGAATGTTCTAATTTTTGTAGCCAAACATCATATTATAAATTTAACAATACTACAGACCCTCAAAAAATACAACCCTCACTTACCTGTGATTGGTCCAGGAAGAAAAGAAAAAAAACAAAAAAACAAAAACACGTGATTGATCCACATGATTTTAAGGGTCATGGGGATCCTCAACTTTGGGAATTTCAAGCATTTTTGTTATAAATTTTGTTAAAATATTAATCCAATTTTCAAACTTAAGTCTATCTAAAAAAATATGGCTTTAGAAATTCCAAAATGATGCGTCACTATATTTTTTTTGACTCATACAATACACTTTATTTATTTATTCATAATGTGTTACTCTATAAGAAAGAAGATCCATGTCACTCCTGTGAAATGCAATCTGCCACAAAACTGATTTTCTTGCTTTTGCAAAAGCCTATTAAAAGGAAGTCAATCCTTTAAGTCTCCTTGCTAAAAAGTAATTTCCATATTTTCAAAAGCAAAAGCAAGATTAAGTTCATATTTCTATATTTATAATTTGAACCGTAACAATCGCTTCACAATAATTCCCTTTTAGGGCAAATTACATATACACCCCTCCAGGTTTGACAAAATTACAGATACCCCCCTGAGGTTTGAGAAATTACGAATTCCCCCCTGAATGCTATATTTGCATAAGAAATTAGGGGGTAATTTGTTATGAAATATAAACCTCAGGGGGTAAATTGTTATGAAAATACAAACCTCAGGGGGCGGGATGTAATTTCTGAAACCTCAGGGGGGTATCTGTAATTTAACCAAACCTGGAGGGGTGTATATGTAATTTGCCCATTCTTGTATTACCACTGGGCCAAGACATTAGACTTTGACAGGAGAGAGAAAAAGATCAGAGAAGGAAATTTCAAAGCACGAACCCAGGTGGCGAGCTTGGCTAGTCCCTACGGTTCCGGATCCTTATGGGTCTGAACCATATGGTTCTAGTCTCTACAGATCCAAATTGTTCAGTACTTTTCAATGCACCAATGAGCCTTGCTCATATTCAAATTAATTTTTTTTTTTTTTTGATCGAAAAAAAAAAGGCTCTGTGCTGTCATCATGGCTCCGTTGGGCCTGACTCCGGGATAATCGGTTGCCAGCCAGGAATTAACCCCTACCAAGTGAGGGACCCACCACCAGGGCACCAATGGAGCGCGCACACACGTCACAGCAGTGGACAGGTGTCGAGGGGATTAGCCAGGAATTAACCCCCACCAAATGAGGGACCCACCACCAGGGCACCAATGGAGCGCGCACACACGCCACAGCAGTGGACAGGTGTCGAGGGAATTTATAGAGCGTGTTCACCGAAGTGATTTCAAACACTCCCTCCCTAGAAATCGACCCTGGCACGCGGCTGTAGAATACCCCGCATTCTCCATCAGGCCACCAACCCTAGTGGTATATTCAAATTAATTTGAGAAATCAAGTTTTGCAGTAATAACACACAACTCCATCTAGAAATAAGTCAAAACAACATCAACTAAATATCCCAACATGTGACATAGTGCAATGAAACACTTCGCATATTATTCATCACACCATCCAAAATGATTAAATAGTTGTATATATATATACATAAAACTTAGATGCCAAAAGATCCATTAAACATAGTCATTCTTGACCAATTGATGAACAAATTTTTACAAAGCTAACAACTTGAATAGTAGAAAAAGCAATAATGTCTTCACACACCAAACAAATTGTCAAAAAACAATACAAAATCAATAAACACATGAAAAATTCAAACCATGTGAGTCCACAACCCAGAACACTCTTCTTCTTCTTCTTCTTCTTCTTCTTCTTCCTCCTCTTCTTTTGATTTTCCCCTCACCGACAAAAGCCCAAATGCCGAACTTGGAGCCTGCATAAGATCCAACGTCACGTGCCCGCTACCTTCATTGAACCGGTCCCAATAACCGTGTGGCTCTGGGAACATTTGGTGGTGATGTGGAGTCATTGGATTGGTTCCGGCTAGTTGGGTGGCGTTCACATCATCCATTGTGTCATGGGACCCACGGTGCCAGTCCCGCTCTAGGACTAGCTGCCGGGCTAGGATGGCTGCGCGGTTTTCTGCAATGAGCTCACGAAGCGCCGCGCTACATCTTAAGGAGAGATCAGAGGACGAAAACCAAGAGTTGTTCTTCCAAGATGATGACAGAAGAGAGAGAGCACGCCCTGTCGGTAATTTCAAGTACGAAAATCTCTCAGCCATCAATTTATTTTCTGTTAGGAAAGGAAATTTACATTTTTAGTTCTTCGAGTTTCAACTGAACTTTCATGATATTTGACGACATATTGATGAATATCAGTATCGGCAGTCCAAAATGCTTGAAATTTCAATACCTTAGCAACTTAAACAAGTAGTAGCCGATAGCCATTCAAGAACATATTCAGTTAAAAAAGTTCAAATATGTTTGTGAAGTGAGAGTGTATCTTAGACATATGCAACACTTGTACATATTAATTGCGATTTTTTAATTTATTTTACTGGTTTCTATTATCATTTCAATTTAATTTTAATTTAACATCATTGCATATCAAAATGGTATAAACAAACAAATTTAGATAGATCATTATGTGAACTTTTTACTACTAGTCCAATAATCATGAATCCAATGCCTGTCCAATATGAATTCCTACAAAATATTTGTGTACCAAAAAAAATGTAAAAGAGTAAAGAAAGTTTAATTACAAAACAGAAATACAAGAATTTACCAAAATAGAAATACAAGAAATTATTGCATAAATTTCAATGAGAGGGAAATCCAATCTATATTCAACACTGAATCACTCAAACTCACATTGCAATTACACTTTTTTTAAGGGACACTTATTAACCCTAGAAGAAAATTCTTCCTTGGCGACGAATCTCAAAAAATGTTATCGAACATACGGTCTTTATATTTGGTTATGAAAAGTAAAGTCTTTTTGGTGACAAAGAATTTGTTTAGTCACCAAACACTTTATTTCACTAGGTTCAGTGGTCAGTTTAAATATTTTCGTTGAAGAGAAATTATTAAGTATTCTTGGAGTGATATTCCATTCTATTAACTAATTGACACCTTAGTCATTGTCTCCTACTATTCTAATATATAAGTGATGTGTACTAAAGGTTAGACCAACAACTATTGATTTGGAGCATCACCGAAACTCGCTCCAAGAACATTGAATAATTTCTTTCACGGGATGCTTCTGGTGACAATTGTATGCTATTTGGCGACGAATATGCTGGTCACCAAAAGTGACATTTATGATTGTGGTGTTCCTAACAAAAAGTTAATTGAGAGACAAGCCAACATCTTTAGAACTAAATTTAAAACACTGAAATAGGACATACAGATCTTCTAAAACTAATATATATATTCATAGTCATATTAAATAATAATTTTATGTTAAAGATTTTTTATTAGTGTATGTCACGTGTGAATAAGAATATAGAATATGTAAAATTTACATCTTCACTTTACATTTTTCTTTATAATTACTGTGAGAGTGGCACTACTTTGTTTTGATGGAAAATGCTATCATTCTATAAACTTCATGAATATTGTGATGTGATAGTGGCACTATTTTGTAAAAGCTACCGTTAGAGATATTAAATTTTCTACTTAAATATATAAGCGTGAGGCTCATAATTTTATGAACTCCACATTCATATGAGACATTTAATCACTTATTTGGTATAAACTTTTAAGGCCTATAGCATTTTTCTTTTTTAAAAGTCAAATGTGATAATTCAATGGGCAAGCATTTGGGAGTTAATGAAGATAAAAAGATTTAAAAAATCAGCTTTTGGTTATAAAAAAATTAAAGTGAAAAAGTTACTAAATTGTTTACCTTTGGTTAAAAGAGATAAATGTTATATCAATTTTTTTAACTCCCAAAAATATAATTGTTTTTAACTTATAAAAAAAAGTCCAAAAAAACCAAAAGAACCCAACCCCAAACCCATCTCACTTCATTTTACACGTAATTTATAAATAGGGTAAATTAGAAATACACTCATTGAGTTTGTTTAAAATATACATTGCCTCTTGTGATTTGAAAAATTACAAATATCCTCTTGTTAGAAATTTTTATTTAACAAAATTAACTAAAAAATAAAATTTCTAATTACTATCTTATACAATGATAAAATTACCTAAATTATTAATTAAAATAATTTTTTGATATAATTAAAATTATTTATTGACTTGATAATTTATTAATAAAACAGGACATTTGTTATTTAAAACTTCAAGAGACAAGATGTAATTTTCAAAACTACGAGTGATAAATCATATTTTAAACAAATCTAAAAGGAAGCATTTATAATTTCAACCCCGATTGGTAACTTGAAAAAGGCGTAGCTCGAATGGCCCGACACCAAAACGACGTCGTTTTGGTGTTTTTTTTTTTTTTTTTTTTTGTGTGTGTGTGTGTGTTTTTCTAAAGACGAAGAAGAAGGAAGAAGGAGAAGAAGGAGCTTGGTTTCATCAAAAGGGGCTGGGTTTCATCAACATCAACAACCATTGAAATCATCAGCTTCGCCATTGCTACATCAACCTCTTTCACCAAATAGAAGAAGTCTGCCCAATCATTTTTCATCAGATCCTCTACTTGTTCAGGATCTAAATCCAAAGTTTTGAAGTCCCCTGGATTCTGAGGAAACAATTGCAGAAAATAGGGACAAGCTAAGGCGGCCCATTCACTGCAGAACTTCGTCGGATTCTTAATCTACATGATCAAAAGCTTGCTGAAATCTTCAGATCTAGATCCAGATCATCATCATCTCCAAATCTTCATCACCTTCATCATCATCAACAACAAAAAAAAAGAAATTCATTTTCTTCAATAAAAAAAAAAAATTCCCCCTTCCCCTTTGTTCTCGAAAATTCATCATCTGCTTCATAGCCTGAGCCTGAGACTGGATCTTCATCATCTTCATTATCTTCCAGTAGATCTGGAAAAGACGGAGTCGCAAAGCTTGTCCCATTCATCATCTTCTCTCTTCTTCTTCTCTTCGCTCTTCTCTCTCTCTCCCCTCGTTTCTTCCCTCCGTATTCACGACTCTTCTCTCTCTCTCTCCCCTCGTTTCTTCCCTCCGTATTCACGAAAAAGGAAAGTCTCTCTCCCCTCGTTTCTTCCCTCCGTATTCACGACTCTTCTCTCTCTCTCTCCCCTCGTTTCTTCCCTCCGTATTCACGACTCTTCTCTCTCTCTCTCCCCTCGTTTCTTCCCTCCGTATTCACGACTCTTCTCTCTCTCTCTCCCCTCGTTTCTTCCCTCCGTATTCACGACTCTTCTCTCTCTCTCTCCCCTCGTTTCTTCCCTCCGTATTCACGACTCTTCTCTCTCTCTCTCCCCTCGTTTCTTCCCTCCGTATTCACGACTCTTCTCTCTCTCTCTCCCCTCGTTTCTTCCCTCCGTATTCACGACTCTTCTCTCTCTCTCTCCCCTCGTTTCTTCCCTCCGTATTCACGACTCTTCTCTCTCTCTCTCCCCTCGTTTCTTCCCTCCGTATTCACGACTCTTCTCTCTCTCTCTCCCCTCGTTTCTTCCCTCCGTATTCACGACTCTTCTCTCTCTCTCTCCCCTCGTTTCTTCCCTCCGTATTCACGACTCTTCTCTCTCTCTCTCCCCTCGTTTCTTCCCTCCGTATTCACGACTCTTCTCTCTCTCTCTCCCCTCGTTTCTTCCCTCCGTATTCACGACTCTTCTCTCTCTCTCTCCCCTCGTTTCTTCCCTCCGTATTCACGACTCTTCTCTCTCTCTCTCCCCTCGTTTCTTCCCTCCGTATTCACGACTCTTCTCTCTCTCTCTCCCCTCGTTTCTTCCCTCCGTATTCACGACTCTTCTCTCTCTCTCTCCCCTCGTTTCTTCCCTCCGTATTCACGACTCTTCTCTCTCTCTCTCCCCTCGTTTCTTCCCTCCGTATTCACGACTCTTCTCTCTCTCTCTCCCCTCGTTTCTTCCCTCCGTATTCACGACTCTTCTCTCTCTCTCTCCCCTCGTTTCTTCCCTCCGTATTCACGACTCTTCTCTCTCTCTCTCCCCTCGTTTCTTCCCTCCGTATTCACGACTCTTCTCTCTCTCTCTCCCCTCGTTTCTTCCCTCCGTATTCACGACTCTTCTCTCTCTCTCTCCCCTCGTTTCTTCCCTCCGTATTCACGAATCATCATCATCTCCAGATCTTCATCATCTTCATCATCATCAACAACAAAAAAATTCATCATCTTCTTCAACAAAAAAAAAAATAAAAATTTCCCCCTCTTCCTTTGTTCTCGAAAATTCATCATCTGCTTCATAGCCTGAGCCTGAGACTGGATCTTCATCATCTTCATTATCTTCCAGTAGATCTGGAAGAGACAGAGTCGCAAAGCTTGTCCCATTCATCATCTTCTCTCTTCTTCTTCTCTTCTCTCTCTCTCTCCCCTCGTCTCTTCCCTTTGTATTCACGAAAAAGGAGAGGAAAAAAAAAAACAAAACGACGTCGTTTCTGTATATTCGAGCCATTATTTTCGAGCAACGGATCATTGTTCTTATAATTTACGCTTACGGCCTCGTTTGTTTGGAATTATAGGGAGGGGATTGGGTTTGATAGTGATGTGGGACTACTATATGGGGTGTTTATTTTGAGAGATGGGGAGGGGACTCCTAATCCCTTGGTATTAGTAAAGGCCTTGAAAGGGAGATTGGGAAGGATGAGGTAGAGATGGTATTAAAAAAATAGTGAAGGGATTAGAAATTTTTTTATTTTTTTATTTTTTATATATTGAGATTTTTTAAAAAAATATTTAGTGTGTTTGGTTTGAATTTTTTGGATTAAATTTTTTGAAAACTCAATTTTTTGGTTTTCATGTTTTTTTGTTTTTAGTGAATATTTTTAAAATTTTAAATATTTTTTTTACCTTTTTAGATGCACTTTAAATATTTTTTTACCTTTTTAAATGCACTTTACTTAGATGTATCTAAAAAGTAAAAAATTTGTGAAAAAATATTTTAAAATTTTAATAAATATATAAAAATATAAAAAAATGTACTGAATTCTCGTTTTTTTTTTATATATTTTTGGTATTTAGTGAATTTTTAAAAGATTTTTTTCACAAATTTTTTACTTTTTAGATAAACTTATGTTAGGTATGTCTAAAAAGTTTTAAAAAAATTACTTAAAATATTAAAAAAATTCAATAAAAATAAAAAAATACGTAAAATAAGAAAGTAGAATTTTCTAAAAAGTATTTTTGAAAAAGCACAACCAAGCAAGCTGATTAATGTTTAATTTTTTATATTTTTTTATTTGCTTTATTATTTTATATAAAAATAATTTAACAATTCCTACACTAACATCTATCATCAAAACAAATATAATTTTACTTAATCCCCTTACTATGAATTCTCTCACTATGAATCCCCTCCATTCAACCTCTGAAAATAAACGGGACGTATAAATATTGTACACTATTTGGATTCAAAGCTACCATTGTCAAATTATACATCGTAGACATAATTTTAGTATAAACAGTCTATTTGAGTAATCATTATACATATATAGTGTTGATCTTACGGATCACTTGAGTGGTAAAATTTTAAAAATAAAATCTAAGGACTTGTTTGGTAAGTTAATATTTTAGTTAAAAAGTCAAAAAGTTATTAAAAAAAGTTAAAAAGTCAATAATTTATACAAAAAAGTCAAAGATTCTTTTTTCTCTCTACTTTTTACATATCTTTTCGTAAAAAGCTAAAAAGTCACCCCAAACATACTAATTTTTTTTACCTCATATTTTAACCAAAAAGTCAAAAAATTACTAAAATAGTATGTTCCCAAACGACACCTAAGGTCTCAAATTCAAGTCATTTTAAAGTGTCTTTAAAGATTTACCAAATCATTAACTTTAAAATCTCATAATTAGGCTTCGTTTGAGAAGTTATGGTTTGGGCTTTTTTGGCTATTTTAGCCACAAAAAACAAAATAGGCTATTTTAGTCATAACAAACAAAACATCACATCCAACCCATAATCATTACATTTTTTTCTTACAAAAAAACTCAAAAAAGCCAAAAAGCCAAAAAGCCAAAAAGTCCTTTCCAAACCAAACTTTTAAGCCCAGGCTAAAATAGCCAAAAAAATCAAAAAATTAAAAAGTCAACCCACTTCCCAAACGGAGGCTTAGTCAAATGGGAGCAAACTGGTCCAAATATCTAATACCGATAATATTAAACAAACATAATCTTCATAGAGATATAAGATAAAATCAAATTCTTTTCTTATGTTGTGTTTGGTTGGGGGATTTGGGGAGGGATTTGAAAAGGAAATGGGTGTGTGAAACTATGTGACATATAAGCATGATTTATTCACATTTCACTGCCTTTTTCATTTCTCTTTCCAAATCCCTCCCCAAATCTCCCAACCAAATACAGCATAATGCTTAACCATTTTGTGAAAATGGAACTCCATGTAATTTTTATTCTCAAATTAATAAAATAAAATAAAAATCGCCCTTAAGAAGAAGAAGGAAAAAAGAAACACTGTTTTAAAAAATTTTAAAAAACAAAAAGGTTACCATGAGAAAGAGAAGGATGGGGAGATCTAGGAATGGAATCATGAGAGCCCTTTCTTCTCCGCTCGTTGTGGCCTGCTAGCCTCCTCCGGCAACTCCTTTTTGAATCATCAAACTCTGAAACTTCATGAAACCTACAAGTAAAACTCATCATCAATTAAACCCACTTTGCCACAATCATAATCAATCATTATTATAATATAACCCAAAGCTTTAGTACTTTCTATAAAAATCGCAGTAAACAAACACCCCCAAAAAAGTAGTCCTTCAGTTAAAATGTGGGGCAATTGCACTGCAGTGATGTGAGTATTATCCATTAATAAAAAAATATATTTTTTTTAATTATTAATATTTATATGCTTTTTCATTAATTTAAAATTTATTTTCAAATGTACTCTACACTCTCTATACACAGTACGAACATACCCAAAAAAAGATCTAGTACCTCCCTACGTACATACCCATATATATACAAACACAATTATAATAAGAAAGACTCTCTGTATATCTGTTCAATCATAGCAACCTGACTTGTCAAATTGATGTGTACATAAATATATATATATTATAAAATCTACAACCAGTTTTCTCATATTTTTTTCATTTTTAAATTGTTCTCATTTTCTTATTATAAAATTTAAAACTCTGCTACTTTTTCAGAGTTTTTTTTTCTTTTCTCTATCAATATATTTTTCAATCCACCAATTTTACACCTTCCTATCGTGAAGTATTATATCAAAAGTGTTGCTATTGAAGCTTAAAAATTAGGAAAGTTTATGGGTAAGTCTTAACAAATATATTTATTATCTAATAAATCATATATAATTAATGATGCTTTTTATAAAATACTAATAAAAAATATTATTAATTGTTAATTTTCAACAACAATTAACAAAAAAAATGTCATTAATTATAAATTTCAACGACAATTTTAAACAATCATCACACAAAAAGTTGTTAATTTTCAACTTTTAGCGATCATCATAAAAACAAGTTACTAATTGTAAGTTTTAACTACAATTTATAAAATTGTGACAAAAAAATCACTAATTATTAATTTTTAATGACATATACAAAAAAATCATCACAAAAAATTATTTTTAACGCCAATCTTACTAAAATTTATTTTCAATAAAACTTAATAGGAATTAAGTGTAACTGTTAAGAATTATTAGTAATTTATCCTAAAAAGTAAACCCACTTTTTAGATCTAGTAATGTGTGAAAAAAATAATTAATTAATAATTAAATATTCTCTAATTATTAATTAATATCTACTTGATACATTACTAGACCCAGAAAATGAGTTGAAAAAGTGTATTTTTATATTGTTTTTCTTATATCAATTGTTACATAACAAGATTTCAACACTTTGATACCTTAATTTACTAGACGATCAATGATATACCGTTAATACTATGGACGTCTCTAAAGGTGCATTTTATTTTTAATTAAATTTGAGTAAAAATTCTTTTTCATATCGCCTAGCTTTTTCATCAAATCACCAGTCAATCGGACAATTGCCTGGCCAATGTAAAATTCTCACAAAATTTTACCTTGCGGTCATTCTAAGAACATCTGATAGTGAAAATACAACAATAAATGGTGATTTGATAAAAAGTAAATATCTTCAATTTAGTAAAATATTTTTGATATTTTTAATTTGATATCTATTTAATGAAATTATTTCAATAACAAAAATATTTTTTACCAAATTTAAATTTGGTCATAAATTTAGTAGACGGTTGGAGAAGGATAACCCTTTCTCTTCTATGTCGATAAATAGATGATGGTATCCTGACGCACTTGAGAAGCATACAAACACAAAGGCTTATTTTGAAAAGTTGATTAAAAATTAATTTTTTTAATTTTTTTTTCAGTTCAATTATACTAATAGATCTGTAGCTGTCAAATTCACACATACTCCATATTGTAGAGGGGTGGGGAGGAGAGAGAGAGAGAGGGAGAGAGAGAGAGAGAGTGGTAATCACCGGCTACACTGTTGACAAAAGCGTTGCTCAAGACCAAGCACCTCCACCTTGGGGGCTTTCGAGTGCATTTCACACACCTTATGCCTCCTGTGGTACTCCTTAGCATTCACCAGCGCCACGTTGCACCCATCCACCTGACACCTCGGCGCCGGCGCCGACGTCCCCACCACCTCACCACCGCCGCCGCCGCCGCCGTAGTAAGTTTTCCCTCTCTTCCCACCACCACCACCACCCACCACGTGGCAATCACCCAGAGGAGCACCAGTAGCGTCCTCGAAGTAGTGCCGCTTGCCGAGCTTCAAGCACATGAGGTGTGGGTCCGGGTGGTAGTAGTGGGGCCCAGCAGCTCCGGAATATAAGGAGGCAGCCGTTTGGTGCCCTAACATGAGCGCGTGGGCTTCACTCGCCGCCGTGACGGTGGCGGAGGAGGGTGGTTGTTGCTGATGTTGTTGTTGGTGGTGGTGGTGGAGGAATGAGGTACTACTAGTAGTGTTCCAGTCAAAGCGTGATGTACCCATATCCCAGATATCCCATGCAAGGTTGTTGCAATGACCATTATGCCCTCTGCTGCTACTACTAGTAGTAGTAGTACTGTTGTTGGTGGTGCTGGTATTGGTGGTGGCAGTGATACTGGTGTTGAATAAGCTCCAACCATTTTCCATTTGTTTCTCTCTCTCTCTTTCACTCTCTTTCTCTCTGTGTTTCTGTTTATGATGTTTTTCTTCTCTCTCTAGACTAGAGATGAGATGATGTTAATTGGGTAAGTGGGTTTGGTATTTGATGTTTTTAGGGGACTACAGTACTGGTGTATATCAGGGAAGATCTGCTAGTTGTCTTCACAAAAGAAGAAAGATATAGAGAGAGAGAAAGGATGAGAGAGAGAGAGAAGGAAGGGAGGGAAATATATGGTTGGGCTGTGTTCTGAACCAATAGGGTTACAGCTGCTACTGTAAAAAGAAAAGCTGCAAAGTTGCTGCCCTGTGTTTGTGTATACATGTATGCGTGTTAGTGAAAAAGAGAGGTAGAGAGTTGACACGTGAGAGATGGGGACTGGCACGTGGGACAAGGGACATGTTTTCAAATGAAATTTATGAAAAATAATATACAAATTTATTTTTTAAATCCAATAACTTTTTTTTTTTTATTACAAGAAAATCTTTCCTACTCTCCTACAGGTTCAAGGCAGCATCCCTTACAAAGATCATTAGGTTATCTCGTTAGTCGTTATGAACGAGGAGACTGTAACTTGGAAATTTGTCTTGATCTCCCAAGACAAGTTCCGCTTAAGTCAAGACTCGCACAATAGAAGAACATTAAACCCACACCAAGTGCTGATTAGACAACTTGAAATTCAATCTTCTAACCAACTGTGTTTTGTCTAGAAGATTTGCCCAAAAAGAAGAATTGAACATGTGACGTGGGGGCTTAATCCAAGGCCTTAACCACAAACCCAATAACTTGTAAAAGAGATAAGTGGTTGATTATTAAAGCTAAGTTTGGCATCTCATAAAAAATTTAAAAATTCAAAAAGTCAAAAAGTCACTATCCTATTTAAGTCACATCATCTTATTTAAGTCACATCACCTCTCTACCATATCACTTCAAACTCAATTCATATTTCATAAAAAGTCAAAAAGTGCACTTATTTAGACCATCCCAAACAACTCCTAAAGAAGATAAAAGAGAGAGTTACATTAAAATTTTTGAAAGACTATCACATCATTACGTTTAAAAAATAGATTTAATTTTTTGAACTAAATAGCCTTACTCAAAATTTATTTATGCAATATTTCAAATTAATTTTATACTAAAAAATTCATGATCAAATTGTATTAATTCACTTTTGTTAAATAGTGGAGAAATATGGAATAGTTTACTTAATTTCTGTTATATCCAAGATTTAAGATCAACTACAAAATTAATGAAAATGAAGCTTTGTGGAAGAGAATTATATGTAACAAATATAAGTTGGAGGTTGGAAGCTGGCTGTAACGCGAAGTTAACAAGACCCTTTTAAATGGGAATAATTAGTGAAGAAAGAGAGAAAGAAAGGGACATATGCATCCGTTAAAAATGGTAAAGAAGATCACTGTTAAAAAGAAGCAGTAAAAGAGCTTTGTTTCATATTGTTAAATGCAGAGTAGTATGCATTTGGCCATACCATAGCCAATATGTTGAGCACTCTTAAAAAAAAGCATTATATAGCTTCCAATTCAAAAGAGAAATCAGAGTGAAAGCGAAGTTTCACTTCATGCGCTATCAATAATGCTAACCCACCATAAAGCTGTTATCCATATATATATATATATATATATTGATAATTCAGTATCCGATTTACTAGACTGACTAATTTAGAGATTAATTCCACCGTTTATTAACAAGGGCAAAACCCTATATTTATTGGTCCCAAAAAATTATTTGCTAATAGGAGGTTTTCAACTTAAGATCTTGAAATAAATATACACACAAAATCCAAATCTTTACCACCAGGCCAACTACTAGAGGTTACATATATATATATATATGCTTTGTTACAGATTTCATTTAAATTTCTTCGGAAGTGTAATGAGCCGGACTTTAGTTATTATTTCATTGAAACTTTTTTTTCCCCTAATTTTGAACAACACAATTGTCATTGTCTCAAAAAGTTATAATTTGATATAAAATGTTATTTTTCTAATTACATTAGGATAATGTACCACCCTTTGTTTTTGGGACACTGGGGTGAAAAATCCAATTCTTTATTTCTTATTCTCGATGGTTCACACAGAATTTTATTATGTCTATAAGGACAAATTTTTGCGAAATGATAAAAATATCCACGTATATATATATATATATGAAAATTTTAAAAATTTTCTAAATATTAATTTGTGATTATGTATCAATTTTAAGCAGTAAATAATAATCTCAATCAAACAATCAAGACAAATTGACACAACGATTTTAACGTAAAAAAATCACAATTGGAGCGCCTTCAATTGTGATAAAAAAAATCACGGGCAAAAGTCACAAAACAATCCACTAAGAAGATGAAAGAAATTACACAAGTGCACTTTCAATTACCAAGCGAATCCACGCTCGAATTGAACCGATCCCTATATGCCTCTTCCACCACGGTCTTCACCTCATAATCGTCTTGTCCAATGTTGAATCCACAACGCCGATGTAGAATCCACGACGATGAGTCACTCTAGAATCTATCAAAGCTTCAAGCCCAAATTTTACAGAATCCACTGAGAAACAACTCTCTCTCTTGTTTAGAATAAACAAACAATCCTTTGATGTATATTTCTTAAACCATGAATTAAATACTCAATTAAATATAAAAAAAAAACTAGCAAAATAGCCTCGGAGGAATACCCTAGAACCCTCAAAGAAGATCTGGAAGTCGTACCTTAAAATCTGACTGAAACACATATTTATAGAAAAATGAATTGCGTTCTCCGCTCGAGCGCTTTCTCCGCTCGAGCGCAGGAATGGACGCTCGAGCGGACCTCGCTCGAGCGCAAGAAAGTTTGCTGAAGCATAAAATCCCAACTTCCAGTACTTTTGCAGACAAGTCAAACTTTTAGAACCAAACGTTCTCCGCTCAAGCGCACAAACGGCCACTCGAGCGGACAAGCAACTTCAAATGCATTTTTGCATTTTGCTTCGGAGGTGCTGCCCCTTGACCCTGCTTGGGCATTGCCTTGGACCCGCCAAGGGGCGCTTCCCCCTAGACCCTCGCGAGTTGACCAGGAAGCGAAGTGGCAAACAAGAAAGAATTAACTTTCTGAAACATCTTTGTAAGGCACAATTCGGGTTGGATTCGCATCTAAAAACTCATAGCCTTACTGAAATAAAAGTAGAACAAAATTACAACTGAAAGGAGTTTTGTCAAATGGGATTGCCAAGAATAAAAACCTAACAATATACATGGTTTCCAAATTAAACCTTATGCAAATCATTATCTCTCTCTCTCTACTCCTCTACGTAGCTCTCTCTACTCTTCTCTCTCTTTACTTCTTCACGACACCATTGGCAGCCTGGTGTTGAATCTCTAAGAAAATCATCTCCATCAATCTCCCATCCTTTCTCTATCTCATTCACCACCGTCTACTCATCGTCGACTCCTCTACCGCCAATGCCAAACTCGACGGAGCCACCGAGTCCCCAATTTGACTCACGTGGCCATGTAGACCTAACTTTCCAAGCACAAACTCCTTAGAGAGTCTGTATTGATCCCATTAGTTTTCGAAAAAGAGATTGATTTGAAAAACAAAGAGATTGATCGAAATGCGAAGAAGATCGCGCTTAGAGGCCGAGAACGAGGGCTTGAGGCAAGATTTTGAGTTTCTTCACACGAAAATGTTAGAAGAAAATAAGGAAAACAAGAAAAGGGAAAAGGCAATGGAGGCTGAGATTGCGGCGTTGAAGAACCAAAATCTTTACCACGTAGAAGGTTTTGAAATTAAGATCTTAGAATGAGCATACACGCAGAATCCAAATCTTTACCACCAAACCAACTACTAGAGGTTGCATACATATATGTGTGTGTGTGTGTGTGTGTGTGTGTGTGGGCTCGTGCACTTTGTTTTAGAGTTCATTCAAATTTCTTCGAAGTGTAATGAGCCGCCCTTTAGTTATTATTTCATTGATTTTTTTTCCCTCCAATTTTGAACGACTCAATTGTCATTGTCACACTGTCAAAAAGTTATAATTTGATATTTTTGTGTTAAAATGTTATTTTTCTAATAATATTAGGTTAATGTACTACCCTTTTTTTTGGGATACTTGGGTGAAAAATCCAATTTTGTATTTCTTATTCTCAAAGGTTCGCACAAAATTTTATTATGTCCATAATGACAATCCTTTGCAAAATGACAAAAATATCCACATATATATATATATATATATACATGGTTCCCAAATTAAACCCTATGCAAATCATTTTCTCAGTCTCTTTCTCTCTCTCTACTCTTCTGCACAGCTCTTTCTCTACTTCTTCCCAACACCGCCGACAACTTGGTATTGAATCTCTAAGCAAATCATCTCCGCCGATCTTCTATCATCTCTCTTTCTTCTTCACCGCCATCTACTTATCCTCTACCGCCAACGCCACACTCAACGTCGCCATTGGGTCTCTGATTTGCCTCACATGGCCTTGTAGACCCAACTCCCCGAGCACAAACTCCTTAGAGAGTCCGTATCGATCCTATTAGTTCTTGAAAAAGAGATCGATTTGAAAAACAAAGGGATTAATCGAAATGTGAAGAAGATCGCATTTGAAGGCTGAAAACGAGAGCATGAGGCAAGATTTGGAGTTTCTTCACATGAAAATGTTAGAAGAAAAGAAGGAAAACAAGAAGAAGGAGAAGGCAATGGAGGCGGACATTGCGATGTTCAATAAATCGTTAATGGAATCAAAGAAATTTGAGCGTGATGAGTTGTTATTATCGACTTCACAAAGGTTTTAGGCACCGATAAATGCATCTGCTAAGTCAAATCTGATGAAGAATATAAAGAAAATAGTGAAATCAATCGCGTGTTCTCTCTCTCTCTCTCTCTCTCTCTTGTCAATGGCAATAATCGACTTAGACTTCGCTGGAGACTTGTCAAACTGCAAATCCGGGTCGTCAACCGCTTCCATATAAAGAAATGCTTTAGAATAGCCTTGACAATTAAAAGTTATGCTTTATCCTGGAACTTCTCAACAAGACTTCTAAAGAGTTGAATATCTATTTTGGTTACTGCAGTTCAAATTCTATAATAAAAGTCCTTATCTGTGGCTATGAGATCTCTATTAAGAACAGGTTATACTTTTGCAAGTAGTTTAGTTTGAATTTCTGATCTAAAACAATTGGTCTACAGTTTGGTACTACTAGTTGATTATTGTTCTTGTCATTGAGAGTTGGTGATTGTTAAGGTGCTCTTGGGTCATTGGTTGAAATGCCGCTTTGTTTTTGTAAAATAATTGTACAAATAAAATTGACTCTATGAAATTAAACAGATAAGAAAAATAA